AATTCCTGAGAGAATTTGGCTCAATTATCCATCGTCTGTTTGTGGATTCCCGGCCTCCTGGTTAATAAAAAAACCTTTAACTTCACAGATCACCCGCCACAATAAACAAGGTGCGCGGTTCACTCGAGTCACGACAAAAACACTGCTGAAGATTATTATTACCTTTAGCAGGAGCTCTCTTGAAATCTGTGCATCGTGGAGTTGGGGAGAGCAGTGAGGAAGGCATTGGAATAGTCCAGCCGGGAAGTAACGAAGGCGTGGACGAGGGTTTGGGCTGTGAGATACGGAGAGGTTGAGGAGTTTCAGATACCCCAAGAGAGAGATATCAAACGCCAGGATTATTATCAAATCGTTTGCCTACAAAATTCCCAGATCCTTTTGACGACCTGACGAGGCGTTGTATCCGAGGCCTTGTTAGTTCTGCACGCGAGCGGAGTTGCCACGACAAGTCCACTCAGGGATGAAGCAGGCGCAAAAGACAAGACAGGAGAAATAAAAATATTTTTTCATTCAAAGTAAAGATAAAAACTAATGTGGCAACTAATGTGGTCTCTGGTACAAATAAGCTCGAATTGATGTGTGTCCCCCACCCAAAAAAAGAGAGAGAGAGAGAGAGAGACTTTCCAAACAAGATCTCTAATGATTGATGATACGAATCAATATGAAACGCAGAGTTACTCATATCACTTGAACCTTGACTGTGAGTGAAGAGCGCAGGGACAAGATGAGAGCCTGGTTGGCTTTGTGCGTACTCCTCTGCGCTGGAGCAGTCATGGTGACTGAAGCCCTCCCGCTCGCTCCGACCGTCCCGATAGAGCAGGCGGTGGATCGAGGGGCTCCCGACCTTCAGGAGAGAGAAGAGGTGGCACCCAGCAATGCCTCTAAGATTGCTGACGTACTGACCAAGGTAGCAAGTGTGACGGGAAAACAATGCTCTAGAACTGTGGCGGTCAACCTTTTGGGCCATCCAGCAAAACAAATACTACTACTACTAATAATAATAATCCTTGCATTTGATATAGAGCCTTACCACGTCTTCGAGACGTCTCTCAAAGCGCTTCACAGGATATACTGTAAAGTGATTTTGACCGTATATGTTGTGGGCGAAACGCGGCAGCCAATTGCACACAGCAGCGTCCCCACAAACACCCGTGGGTTGAGTCAACAATTGTTTTTTAAGGGATTTTATGACCCCCCCCCGGAAAAGCGATCCACCAATCGACTAACAACCGGGTTCCTACTTATTGCTGGTAAACAGAGACGTGTGTGTGCGTGTGTGTGGAGTGAGGAGACTTGCCCAAGGTTTCGCTCTTCCTGGGAATCGAACCCGGGTCCTCTCGCTTGCGAGGCGAGTGCTCTAACCCCTGAGCGACAGGGACTCCACTCCAAATGTTCATGGTTGAAGCGGTGGGGTTTGGGGATGGGGGAGTGTGGGGTGCGAGCTGGAGGGATTATAGAAGAGTTCCAGCGGACCACGGATACGAGATCCATAAACTCGTGAATAATAACAGAAAGACAATCCTTGCATTTGAAACCGTGCCTCAAAAAGCTTGAAACGTCAAAGTGTCGTGACTGTGTTGGGCGGGGGGTGTTGGTTTATGGTGATCGTGGAACTAATATACTTGCAACAACTTCCAATCTCATCTGGGGGGGTGTCATCCAGGACATCGAGAGAGAGAGAGAGAGAGAGGAACTCCACCTGAACAGGGACAGACGGGACCTCCTCGGTTTAACATCTCATCTGAAGGACGGCACCTGCGACTCCCCCCCCAGCACTGCCCTGGAGTTTCACTCGGAGTCCGTGGGTTCTCCAGGTCCCAAGACGGGTTAAGGCGAAGTGTGAAAAGACGGCCGTTTTCTGCCTATCGAACGGAAAGGGCTATTACGCGGTGATTTGCTAAATCATTTACGCAGGTGTGCGATTTAATTTTTTTCTCTCTCTCTCTCTCTCACTCTGCCTTGCAGATTTTTCCCGAGATGAGCTTCGAGGATAACTGCATAAGATTCTCCTTTGGTTTCATCTGCCGATTGGAACCTGGCTCCTTGCAGGTAAACGAACTGGTCGAGGCAGAGAGCAGAGAGAGAGAAAAAAAAATCACGTCTTTCGCGGAAGTGGGAATGTCTTCAAAGGCATTTGATACGGCGCCTTATCACGTCTTCGAGACGTCTCAAGGCGCTTCACGGAATATAATAGGTTTCTGAAGGATAGAGGGGTGATAGGTTTCTAAAGGATAGAGGGATTAAGGGATATGGGGATAAGGCGGGCAGATGGAGTTGGGTTAGAAGATCAGCCATGACCTTATTGAATGGCGGGGCCGGCTCGAGGGGCTGAATGTCCTGCTCCTGCTCCTAATTCCTATGTTCCTATAACCCATTGTGAATTGACTGCACGTTTCGTGGGTGATTGCGTCGCCAGCGGTGTAAGGCGTTCGCCAGAAAGGGACTTCACCCGACACAGGAGGTGTGAATTACTTTTAATCTCCTTTGACACCACATAGAATTACTACCTCGTTGAAGTGACATTGAAGCAGTGAGATGCAACGAAACCGATGCCACCCGATTCCACGGGGGCAACGTCACTGACGTACCTCTCCACTGTTCCTCCCCGCGATGAGTCCAACTGTTCCAAAGTTACGTCTTACTTTTACGAGTTTCTACCTCCATCTCCCCTCGTCCCAGAGACAGGCCACCCACCCCCCCCCCCCCCGCCCTTCGCGGGCCGCTAGGGGTCTTGAACAGGCTCCGTTTCACGTGGGGTAAAACAACTGAGACGCAGAAAGAGGGATGGACAGCTTTTGGGGAGGATTCCGCCGTCTCCCTGTTCCTTTAGTCTTGAGATAAGCCGATGTCCAGGAGTTCGGTGGGGAGCAAGATACTCAGTCAACTCGCTGCACGGTCCATTCCGTGAAGGCGCTTTGAGACGTCTCGAAGGCGTGAAGAGGCGCTGTATCAAATGCAAAGATTATTATGATTATTATTACGACGACGACGACGACGATCGCGATACGTCTGTCATCGGCACGGTATCGAAAGCAAGAATTATTCTTCATTTAACGTTAGGCGTCGAACGGTGGCCTAACGAGCGGTTTCTCGAAACCGCGTGTGTTCAATTCGCAGCGACTGACCGGGAACCACGAAGCTGAATGACGGCCCCTTTTGCGCGGAGAGGCCAAGGGCTATTTGCGAACACCGAAGCCTGAGCGGACAGCGTTGCCCGTCGACTGACCGGTCCGGCCGTGTGTACCCCTGGGCTGGATGAATTCCTACATCCCCGCTGTGCACGTTACAGCGTTTGGGGAGTCCTGTGGCTCAGTGGTCAGAGCACTCGCTTTGCGAGCGAGAGACCTGAGTTCAATTCCAGGCAGAGGGCCAAACCTCGGGCAAGTTTCCTTACCCCACACAGAGCCTAATAATAATCCTCCAAAACCAAAAACAATAATAAATTGGTCATTTTCAATCCACGACTGTTTGTGGGACATTGCTGTGCGCAATCGGCCGCCGCGTTCGCCCACAAATATACAGTCAATTCGCTTTACAGTGTGTTCTGTGAAGCGCTTTGGGACGTCGAGAAGACGTGAAAAGCGCTATATCAAATGCGAGGATTATTATTATTATTATTATTATTACTCCTTCTCTTTCTCTCTCTCTCTCCATCTCTCTCTCTCGCTCTCGACGCCTTCTCTACGTCTCATCTCCCCCCCCCACCCCCCGACCCCCCTTTTCTCCCGCTCGGGTGCACCAAACCCACCCCTTTGCCGATGGCTTCTGGACGTGGTGATGGTGGCCTCGTAAGCTCTCGCGGTTGTTCCTGCGCCGATGTAGCTACAGGCAGACTCAGTAAACAGCGACAACAACGCCCGCCCCACACCCACGTACAACCGATGCGGTGATAGTCTAATATTTCGGGCAACTTCGGGCAAATAACTCCAGTATGTGAAGCGCTCTGAGGCGTCGCAACGACGTGATGAGGCGCGAAATCAAACACAAGGATTATTATTATTATTATTATTAACTTCAACTGTTGGAGTCCATGTTATCACTTTCTCAATGTGACTTCTTCTCATTCATGTTATTGCTAATAACCATATTGTCGTCAGCATTATTTTCGCTATTAATAACGTTATTATTATTTTATTAATATTATTCCGCTGTTTTTATTAATAATAAAAATAATGATAACTGTTAATGATATTACTTATTATAATGATGATGGCGATATTATTAATATCAATATTATTTTAATTGTGAATAATCTGTTGCTTCTTTAATTAATAATAGTATTATTGATATTGTTATCATCATTATCATTTGTATTATTGATATTATTTTATTGATTAATAATATTATTTCATTGATTAGTAATATTATTGTATTGATTAATAATAATATTTTATTGATTAATATTAATTCATTGATTAATAATATTATTGTATTGATTGATATTATTTCATTGATTAATAATATTATTGCATCGATTGATATTATTGCATTGATTAACAATAGCATGTTATTGATTGATAATATTATTTCATCGATTAGTAATATTATTGTATTGATTAACAACATCATTGTATTGATCAAGAACATGATTGCATTGATTGATTACTAATACCATCATATTTACTGACAATATGACTTTTATTAGCAGCAACGATAGCACCAGCGTTGTACGAGCATTTTGCAGTAACATGATTAAGCCGAACAGCATTTTTTAAAAATTATTATTATTATTATTATTTTTGTGTGGGGGGACAAAAAATCCCCTCTCTCTCTCTCTCTCTCTGGTGAGGCTGACCTTGCCCCTTTAAGGCGGTTGGCGGTTGGAGCTGCGCGCGCCGCCGCCGTTGCGCACGCGCACCCGCCAAGTTTCCTCAGCAACGCGCTCCGCGCCGGTCATCAAAACCCCGGAAGTCCCGCCCCCCCTGAGCTCGCAACCAATGGCGGCAGAGGAGGGCCCCGGCTTCGACCAATCGGAGGAGCGGGGAGCCGCCGCGAGATGGGCGGGACTTCCGGTCATCGGGGTTCGGTTGGCCGCGGAGGGAGAGCGCGCGAGAGAGAGAGAGACGGGAGAATCCGTGAGGGAAGCGATGGACAACAACGGCGTCGTGCAGGAGATGGCGGCCTCCCTCGTCCGGGAATACCTGAGCAGGAAGGTGAGAGGAGGCGGGAGGTGATGGGGGGACGCGCTGATTAATCCCCCACACGCGACAGGCGGCGACGCTCACACCCGAGTACACACACACAGTGTCTGTCTGTCTGTGTTGTTGTTGTTGCTGTCGTCCTCGTCTCTGACCCTCACCTAACAGCTGTGTGAGGGTGTGTGTGTGTGTGTGTCTGTGTGTGTGTGAGTCTGTGTGTGTGTGTCTGTGTGTGTGTGTGTCTGTGTGTGTGTCTGTGTGTGTGTCTGTGTGTGTGTGAGTCTGTGTGTGTGTGTCTGTGTGTGTGTCTGTGTGTGTGTGTGTGTGTGTCTGTGTGTGTGTGTGTCTGTGTGTGTGTGTCTGTGTGTGTGTGAGTCTGTGTGTGTGTCTGTGTGTGTGTGTCTGTGTGTGTGTGTGTGTCTGTGTGTGTGTGTCTGTCTGTGTGTGTGTGTGTCTGTGTGTGTGTGTGTGTCTGTGTGTGTGTGTGAGTCTGTGTGTGTGTCTGTGTGTGTGTGAGTCTGTGTGTGTGTGTGTCTGTGTGTGTCTGTGTGTGTGTGAGTCTGTGTGTGTGTGTCTGTGTGTGTGTCTGTGTGTGTCTGTGTGTGTGTGTCTGTGTGTGTGTGTGTGTGTCTGTGTGTGGTGTGTGTGTGTCTGTGTCTGTGTGTGTCTGTGTGTGTGTGTCTGTGTGTGTGTGTGTGTGTGTGTGTGTGTGTGTGTGTGTGTGTCTGTTGTGTGTGTGAGTTGGTGTGTGTGGTGGTGGGAGGGTCTTATTTGTTGTTGGTAGTGACGGTGTTAATGAGGATCTCTGACTCCTCCCCTCCCCCCACCGCCACCATCTGTGGAGATCTGTGTGTGTCTATGTGTGAGGGTGTGTGTGAGCCGAGGTGGGGGGGGGGGGTGGTGGTGGCTGAAGGGGGTGTGTGTGATGGGTGGTAAGGGATGGGCGGGTGGGTGAGTGATGATACGGGGGTGTCGAGGGGGGAGTAGTGTGTGTGTGTGTGTATGTTGGGGTGGTGTAGTGTGTGTGTACATGGCGGGGTGTGTGTGAGGGTGTGTGTGAGGGTGTGGGGCATGGGGGGGGGGGGGGTGTACAGAATGTCTGTCAGACGCCAAGTCCTGGACGAGAGCGAACTTTCTACATCTGAACGTCAACCAGACCGAGGCTCCTGTTTGGCTCTCCTCCTCACCTCAGGCGCCGACAGCATCGCCGTCCGTGGGGCTCACTCCCCCTCACTGAGCCAGTCCCGAACCTCGGGGTCTGGTTTGACCCTCAACTGTCCTTTCTACCCCATGACTCGCTCTGCCTTCCCCACCTCCGCAACGTCGCCCGGCTCCGCCACTGTCTCACACCGCCGGCACACGCACACGGCTTCATTACATCCAGGCTCGACTGTGCAAACTCATTGCTTGTCGCCCCCCCCCCCCCCCCCCCAACTCCTCCCTCCATCCAAAACTCTGCAGGACCTGTCCTCTCTCGCGCCGGGCTCCGTGACCGCTATCACTCCCATTCTCGCCCGACTCCACTGGCTTCCCATCACACAGCGGATACAGTTCAAGATCCTCGTCCTCACTTTCAAAGCCCTCCATGGCCTTGCTCCCCCCCCCCCCCCCCCCCACCTCTCTGCGACCCCCGTATCAACTTGTTCGCTCCCTCTGCTCAGTGGGCTCCGGCCTGCTTCACATACCTCGCCTCCAGCTACTCTGCCCCCGCCGTATGGAACTCCATCCCACAGTCCCTCCGCCTCGCCCCCTCCCTTGCCGCCTTCAACACCCTCCTCAAGACCTTCCTCTTCATCTGTGCCTTCGGTCACCCTCCTTCCGCCCCTGACCTCCACCCTCCCCGATCGCGGCCCCCAGCTCAGGTCCGAAACACTGATTGTCCAGCACCTTGGGACGTCCTCCCAACATGAAAGGCGCTATTCAGATGTAATTTTGTTGTCTCAATTTTGGGGGAATCGGGGTGGTGTGTGTGAGCTTAGATCCAGGAATACACGAGGGAGGGGTGTGAGGAAGGGCATGGGGTGTCTGTTAGAAGATAATGGGGTTGTGTGGAGGGGAGTTGGGATGTGGGATTATCTGGGGCGCGGTGTGTGTGTGTGGTGGGGGAATTGCATCTCTGTTTCCGGTCAGTGAGGTGGCAGATATCTCAATACAGTTGGAGGAAAGGGGTTTCTGTTTCTAAGAGGTTGGATTACAGTTGTGGGAGGAGGGGGGTTCATCTGTATCTATCTGTCGGCGATGGTGACGGCCTCATATTGGGTGGAGGGAAATGAAGGTGGTTCTGCAAGTCTCTGTTCCTAGGTGTTGAGGCTGCAGATGTGTCCGATCTCAAAGCGGGGCCTGATTGTATGATCACACACCTACACTTTCCAGCGGAGTCACCAGAAGTAGGCAACCTTCTGTCCCTTTCAAAAATCTCATGGCAATCGTGCACCCCCGATTTCCACTCCGTTCAGAAAACTGCACAACTGGGAACGCTTCAAACCGGATCAGGTATGAAGCCTCCCCAGTTGTGTTTCGTTTATCCACTGAGCTGTCAAGCGAGTTATAAATTTTTAAGTCGCCATTGACGCCTCACGCTTCTGATCTTTGAATCTTGTGATTATCCCCCATGACATCTGTGTTGTTACAGATGAAATAGCTCGCTCATTTTCTCCTGCTCTGCCAGTCTCTCTCTTTTAAAAATTCAGAAATAAGCACTCGTCACTGCAGAAAACTGAGCAGCCATTATGCGGAGGAGAGCAAATTATTTCGCAATTTGGCATTCGAAGCAACTTGATATTCTGTGAGACGGTGCATCATGTTTTGTTCTCACTCTATATATTATTTGTGGCGGACTCCCAACTTTATTCTCAATTTTTTTTAGCAGCTGCCAGTATATGCTAGGTGAAGGACAGTGTCTAACAGTAATGATATTGTCAGATCATTGGAAGTAATCTACTTTTCTGAGGAAAATGTAAGGCTGATTATCTTTTCTGGAAAGCATTGAGATGCAAAACGACTTTTGGTGATCAGAAATAGTGTGTCGCTGGAGATGACTTTGCCTTGACAGCTCATTTGAAAGAAAGAACTTACTTTTTTTTATTGAGTCTTATCACGTCAGTGTCTCAAAATATTTCCCAGTGATTACTGTCAAATGTCATGGCTGTTTTTGTAGGTAAATGCAGCAGACATTTGAGCACCGAAAAAGTTCCACAAACACCCACAAAGTGAATTAGCAACGTAACTGAGGATTGTTGGCAAGGATACGGGGAGAAACTCCCTTCTCTTTTTGAATAGGTTAATAGAATCATTGATGTTAACCTGAAGAACAGCCCACATGACCTTGGTTTCACGTCTCATTCGGAGGACAGCACTTCTGACAATTCAACGTAACTGGCTCCAAGGTGACATGTTTGGCAACGAAATGTCGGAATCGAGCCAGCCCTCTGTGACGGTCCCTAACCTGGTTTCTGAGCCAGGTGGGTCTGTAGTGCTCCAGGGCATTGCCGATGACAACACAACCCAGCCTGGCTCGTTGGCAGGACTTGGAAGAGCAGATCAGTCACTGGGAGCCAGGATTCCTCCCACTCGGCTCCTGTTAACCCTGCAAGCCAAAGCCCTTGCAGGGTTTTCCTGGCTGGACAAGCAGCGGGAAAGCTCTCAATAGTAAGCTATGTGGTTTTTGATGGTTAGCTGGTTGGGACTCCAGCAGTATCCCAGTGCACACTCTGGAGTTCCCAAGGTTTGGCTCTTGCTAACCTGAAGAGATTAGAGGGTGAGGACCTTGAAATCAAGACGGTGAGCCAGTGAATTTGGGGGTGTGGGTGAGGATGCAGGCGTTGGGAGATCTGGATTATCTGAATTGTATGGATGGTGGAGCTAAAGAAACCAGTGAGTCTGTGGGAGGCATAAAATCTATATTTGGGAACATAATGGTTCTTGAGCTGATGGTAACTTTGCAGGTGTCCTGCCAAAGAGGGCAGGTATGAGAAGTGAGCGTGTGTACAGTCATATTAATGTGTAAATCACTGGGAGCTGGAATTGGCTCCTGTTATGTAATTCTGTTGATGTATCAACTATTCGTGGGCCACTGCTGTGCGCAATTGGCTGCCAACAAACTATAGTCAATTCTCTACAATATATCTTTTGAAGCACTTTGAGACCTCTCAAAGATGTGATAAGGCGCTATATCAAATGCAAGGATTATTATTATTATTTATTATTACTACCCATGGCAAGTTATATGTTTACAATGCCAAGGCTTGTGTGTTTAGCTGGTTAAACTCCAGCAGTTACCTCCGTACCAGGGACCTGAAATCTTGGTTCTTAACCTGCACTAATACTGGAATTAGGTAAACTGGCTTTCAGAGAGCAAGTGCGCATATTATAATAATAATAATAATAATAATAATGATAATAAAATTCCTTGCAATACACCCAACAGTCGTGGATTGAAGTGGTCAATTTATTATTATGATTATGATTGGTAACTGTAACTGTTCTGACAGCTCTGTGGCATTTTGTCCTTTCCCAGGGTTTAAAGAAGACAATTGCAGCCATGGACCAAGAATTTCCACGCAGTGAGACCAGCATCAACAACCGAAATGAGCTGAAGAAAGTGTTACATTTGGAATCGCTGTATAAGCAGAACAAGGTGAATGTACTTCATTTGTTGAACCAAACATTAGCGCTGCGGGGAACATAAGGGCTTCAAGAAACACCTTTCATAATTCCACCTGCTGCAGTGTTTTACCACATCCTTATTTCTATCACATGCAATTTGTTGTGTTTTTTTATTGCTAACGGTGCTTTTCACCCCGGTAGACAGGCCTTTGCGGAGCTTACACTTACTTATAGATGGCAGACACATCTCTCGTCAGTTGCCCTTTAAATTTTACTTAAATCTTGGACTGTGGGAAGATGCAATCCAATCTCACCCGTTAGACCGGGGAGAGGAAAAGATGACCGAAAGCGTGATCAAAGAGTTAGGTCTTGATATGCCTTGAAGGGAGGGAGGGAGCAGATGGCCTGAAGTTGAAATGGTCTCGGGCTGGATGAACAACAACAACAAAATTACACTTGTAAAGGGCCTTTCACCTCGGGAGGACGTCCCAAGGCGCTGAACAGTTGGGGATCAGAACCCGAGCGTGTGGGGGCAGGGTTGGGGTGAGGGAGGCCAGAGAGGTAGGGGGGAGGTCGAAAAGGAGGGTCTTGAGTCATACCTTGAAGGAGGCATGGAGGGAGCAAGGCAAAGGGATTGGGATTGTGGGATGGAATAATAATAATCCTTGCGAGTGTAATGGACCGGGTGTTTTGTGGGCAAAATCATTCGCTGAACTGAATTCCGGCTACAAGCTTTACGTTGATCTATTTATTCCTTTGCAGTAACTTCTATTGAAAATTCAATGTATTTACCTCTTTTTTTAAAAAAAACAGGATCAGTTGATGCCTTTCAGGACGATGCTGGAGATAATCACGAAATACTTCCTGGAGAGTTCTGAAAACGCAAAGAACTTGACGAGGGACAGCATCCGAACCCCAGCCATCTTAAACCAGCGAGGCAGCACGTCGCGTATCGATAACACCTTCATAAACATCTACGACCTGTGCGATGAGGACAAAGGCGGAGGTTTAGCGGTGTCGGACCTGAATAAAACAGAGATTTGCAGGTACAAGCAGAATCAGTGGTGAGCCTTGCATTTGACATAGCGCCTTAATCGCATCGTCGAGACATCTCAGAGCGCTTCACAGGATGTACAGTACAGTGGTGTGACTGCGCTTTGGGGAAACGTGGCAGCCAATTTGCACATGTTAGTGGCCCACAGACAACCTTGAAGTGAGTGACCAATTGGGCAGAATCGTGGGAAAGAGCGAGAGAGACTTTTTAAACAGTGCCGTGGAATCTTTTTAACGTCCACTTAAGCAACCTTCAGAGACGGAGGTGAGAATGCTACCAACTGAGCCGGGCTGAAACTGATGTAATAAGGCTTCCTTGGCCTGAAATTAGGCTTAATCCCTTAAAATAAAATGCGGTCCTCAATCCACGACTGTTTGTAGGACACCGCAATGCGCATTTGGCTGCTGCATTTCTCCCACAAATACAGTTACTCCACACTATATTCTGTGAAGCGCTTTGAGACGTTTCGACGACGTGATAAGGCCCTACACCAAGTGCAAATATTATAATAACTATTCACTCCCTGGATGTTTGTGGGACATTGCTGTACGCCAATCGGCTGCCACGTTCACCTTTAAATACGCAATTGTCAGACTTGACAGTTGTTAATGCGAAGCGGTTTGGCGACATGATAAGGAGCTATTACCAGATGCGAGGCTTGAATCCCGTTTCTTTATTCGTGTAAGAGAAATTGTGTCTGGCGCTGTGCTTTTATACCTGCAGTTTCCAGCCAGTGCTAACCACCTGCTGTGGGAGATCACAATGAGCTATTGTCCCACTGTTCTCAGATAGGTGTCGCTACATTATGATGTTGGAGCCAGTGTGTGTAAGCAGACAAATTGGTTATAGAAGCAGCAAAGATGGGGCTACGGGGAGCTCTAGATGAGCTGGGGAGCTCTAGATGAGCTGGAGCTTGCAGTGGGTTAAGCTAGGGAGGCCAGCGAAGAGAGTTTTGGAGAAATCGAGTCTAGAGGTGACAAAAGGCGTGATTGAAGGATCCTGTCTGCATTGGGGGGTGAGGAAAGGCCAGATTCGGGTGAGGTTCCAAAGTTACAGTATATAATACATACAGCACAACGCAAATTTCCATTTTATGCAGTGGCGGGAGAACATCCTAATAATAATAAAACTTGCATTTGATACAGCACCGTATCACGTCTTAAAGCTCTTGGCACTCGGTGGTGGGGGAAAGTGAGGTGAATGGGGTAGATCTTGAGATAGACCTTGAAAAGGAGAAAAGTGATCTATGGTCAAGGGCTCTCTCTACCTGTAGTGTTTGAAAGGGAATGGACGGTCTAGTTTTTGTGAGGCGGCAGGTTCCAGAAAAGACAGACCTGCTGTGGTGAGTGATTTGAGTGTGTATCCACACACCTCACAGCGCTTCACGGAATATCTGTTAAGTGAATTGACACTATATTTTGTGAACGAAACGTGTAAGCCAATTTCGCACAGCAGTGTCCCACAGTTTTATTTTGTTTCCCGGTGAAGGGTGAAATTAAACGGGCCGAGGGCCTTTTTCATCCGAACCTGTGTGAACAAAGTGCCTCATTTATACCAATCTTGCCTCCTCTGTGTTTTTTAAATTACCGTTTGTATTAATCTCGTGTTCCAGCTCTATCACCATAATCGTGACTGTTTTAATTGCTCAGGTGCTTATCCAATCCCTTTTCAATGATGCTATTGATTCAGCCACAGTGGGCACTCAGAGTAATCAATTCTATATTGTAATATCCTGTGACTGATTATGGGAACAAACCTATGAATATATAGTGCTTTGAGATGTCTCAAAGACGTGATAAGGTTCTATATCAAATGCAAAGATTATTAGCATTATATGAGTTCGACCTTAAACAGAAAGTTCTGAAAGGCTGAATGGTAAGCAACGTTGAAATCACAGCCTTCGGTTGAGACGAGATGTTAAACCGAGGTCCCGTCTGCCCGTTCTTTGTGACCGCGACCTGATATCAATGATCTCATTCTGTTTTCTAGATTGCCTAATGATTCGTATGGTGCGCCCTGTATGTCTGTTTCTTCCTCCAAGACTCTGCAGAGTATCCACAAGAAAAAGGAGCGAATCTCCAGCAGCAACAGCATCGGGGGCTGCCCTTCGGGAGGGGAACCCGGGCTCCTGCCCACCAGCCTCCTGCCACCAGGGAGCAGCGTGGAATGTGGCAGAGTTGTCATGTTCCCAGTGGAGAGCAGAGGCACAGAGTCGCACAAGATCAAGTCCAGCCGGATTGTACGCGGCATGATGACCGGGCCAGTCGCCACTTTGCAGGAGGTACGTAGGCACTTAGAATCATAAAATATTACAGCGCACGAGGAGGCCATTGGGCCCATCGTGCCGGCTCTTTGGAAGAGCTACCCAATCAGTCCCATTCCCCCACTCTCCCCACATTCTTGCAAGATTTTGCTTTTCAAGTCCCTATCTTAATTTCCTTTTGAAAGTTGTTATTGAATCAGTTTCCACCAGCATTTCAGGCAGTGCATTCCAGACTGTAACAATTCTCTGTGTAAAGACCTGGTCAACAGCAAGCGATTATATGGTGGGTTTCACTCAACCGAGCCACAGGATCACCGGGTGTGGATAAAGACCCTGCAGCCATATGTTTTCTTCTTGCCTGGTCGTGCCTGAAGACCTTCCTATTTGACCGTGCTTAAGGTCACCTTCTTCCTGGCCTAGCATTGTGCTGCACCACTGATAAGCGCTCCGGGACGCTACTCTGCGTGAGGGGCGCTATAGAAATGCAAGTTGCTGTGCTGTAACGTTTGTACAGTACCATTTGTCTGAGTGCTCCCATCTAGTTGATGTTTGTTTCTTTCAAACGCTGTGTAGGATTCTTCCAGGAAGCGCCTTAGCAAGAGGGCTTCGGGATCCAGCCTCTTTCTACAACCAAACGACAGCGACTCCAGTTCTGGCTTAAAATGCTACGCACGGCAGGCAGGCAGCATGCTGGAAAACGCTGCCAGCCCAGAGTGGCTGAGCCCCAACCCGTCTGCGGACGGCATGATCCCAGCGGAGCCCACTCCCGTCCTGGATTATCCACAGAAGAAAACTCCCGCTTCAATCCTGGGTGTCCGCAGCAGCCTGAAACCTCAAGACGCCAGAATCTTCAGCGATGCCCTGGATGATCCGGCGACGGACAAGATGTCGGACAGGGATCGGAGGGCAGCCCACAGTGGCCAGGAGAGGAAAACGCTATCCAATCTGAACTCCGGCCCGCATGAGAAGAATAAGAAAGTCAGCTTCGCTCCGGAATCCACCAGCCTGGAGCGTAAATCAAGAGAAAACAGCACCAGGAAGACTGAAGACTTGTACTCCAGGTAGGTCCATTGTGGCTTCATCTGCTCCCATCTGGGTTAGAAGGTTCGTCCTCACATCAGGTCAGGCTTGCACTAAGGTAACACTGGGGAAGGGCTGTAAGTTCAGTCCTTCAAATGAGACACTAACCCGAGGTCCTGCCACTGTTTTTCAGGTGGACCTTGAAGATATAATAATAATCCTTTCATTTGACAGAATGCCTTATCACTGTAAAGTAAATTGATTGTACATTTTGTGGGCGATACTCAGCAGCCAATTGTGCACAGCAGAGTGCCCACAAACAGTCTCGGATTGAGTGATGGAACGTCTTTTATATATCAAGAGCGGGGAATAATATTTGTGAAGGGATGCCGTGTTTCCAGATAAGGTACAATACTTTGATGGACCATGAGAGGGAGCAGCTGATCATGTAACAGCTAAAACCCAGGGTCACTCGAATTCTCCTCCGTCCTCTTTGCTTTGATTTGAAATTTCATTTGCCAGCTTTTCTACGTCCAGCTATTTTTCTGTATTCATTGTGGGAGCAGAGACTGGGGTCCAAGGGTTGTGTTTTGCCATCAGTGCGGTAGGGTTTGACTAGCATTACATTCGGAGACCATAGCAACAGCAGCACAACAAATTACATTTGTATAGCGCCTTATAATGGGGAGAGCCTTCTGCAGACATAGGAGAGTGCTGGATGTGATTACACTTGCTGCTTTGCCACAATACCTAGCGGTTAAGGTAGGAGCGGTTAAGCGCTCCAGAACACTACCCCGCGTGAATGGTGCTGCATCAATGTGTTGTTATTGTAGGAATGAAGGACCTTAGAAGCACTAATGTAACAAGTTACTTTGGATGTAAAAAGTTCTTATTATTGCAAGAATCTGCGTTATGCTCCATTTTCCTTTTTCCCTGCTGTGTACAGTCTGGCTTCTTATTCCTTTCTTCAACACTGACCTTTGCTCTGAGCTCGAACGGGCCTTGGTGGCTGAGTGAAGCTGTTCCTGTTCGCTCAGCCTGCTTGTCCAGCTATGCCACGCACGTAATTTACTTGGTTTTTGTTTGCCTGTCACAGAGTGGACACCGTGTCAGGCTCACTGGCTGTTTGACTTGTACTACCTCCAAACTGAACTTGGCAAAAGAGGCCCAGAGGTTCGAGATGAGCTCCTGCTGATACCCTCGCCCCCAAAACACACAGTCACTACACCTTACAGTACATTCTGTGAAGCCCCTTGATTATTTGCAAACGTAAATAGTCCTTGCATTTGATCTAGCGTCTCAGCGACGTGATAAAGCACTACATCAAATGCAAGGATTATTTATTGTTGTTACTTTCGAATTTCAATTCTGTTTAATTTGGATGATTCTTCTGAAATTCTGCACCATCTTCAAATCTATGGCAATGATCACAAGCTGTTTCGAGCTTTAGATGCTTACGGTGGAGAAAGTAAAATTCGGTGGAAGAGGAGAAGGAGGTGATCTTATTGATGGTGGCTAACAATCCTCTACACAATAAAATTGGCCATTCGCTTCCTAGGACATAGCTGCCGAGTTTGCCTACAAAATACACAGTCACTAAATTTCCTCCCTCCCCCGGCTTGGGGTCAGACTCAAGTGCTCTGGGACGCTACCCCGCATGAAGGGCGCAAAGTTTACGGTAATTCCCGTGAAACACTTTGTGATGCCTTAATATTTGTAAATAAGACGCTGCATCAAATGTAAGGAAAACTATTAAGTTTTATGAAGTTATGAGGAAAAGATAAATCTTTGTATACAGTACTGTTTACAGACACCAGTGTGTTCAATGTAACCATGTGGTTGAGAAGTACATCTTCAAGATCGCAAGGAAATTGAATGGAGAGATTAGGGTAAAAAGAGTTAGAGTTATTTCTATTGCACATTATCACGTTCAATTCAATTACAGCAATTAGTGTAGTGACTGCATTCGTAGGCAAATGCTGCAGCCGTTTTGCGCAAGGCAATGCCCCACAAACAACCATGGGTTGACCTACGAATTTGAACTGGAAGATCGTTAATCAGAAGACTAGGAGAAAGTCCTTTTTTTTTCTTTCAATAGTCTCATGGGGTCTTTAACGTGATTTAAGAAGTGTTCAAGGGACTTAAGCCAGAGCTTAAGATAGTTGATGAGTGATTGGGGGAAGAGATCCGTCCAAGCCATTGTGCCAAAGTCAGGGGGGGGAACAGGGGAATGGTCATCAAGAAGGGTTTGAATAGTCATTTTTCAGCTAATCAATAAACATTCTTTAAAATAAGGAATGGAATGCGTTCGCAGTTGCTGCGAACTGCCTGCATTGTGTTGGATAGCAGCCTTTACCCCTCACACTGTGTAATGACTGCGCAACGTTGGCATTCCTTGTGAGAAAGCAAGCACTTCACCAAGGCAAGTGCATCCAAAGAATCCTGATTGATTAGGACTGACTTCATGATTTATAATTTGACTTCTAAGCCCGGCGTAGTTGTAGAGTTTTAAGCCCACAAGTCAAGGCAACCAGTCAGTGGTCATGCGACCTCACGCACAGTCTATTGTTTTCAATGGAAAGTGACGTCTCCCACGGCCAGACTGATAGATTGGTAACTTGGGGGATGGGAGATTAGGGGCATCACTGGGAGAGTTGAGGGGGGACCCCGGTCGTGGGCCTGTTGGAATATGGAATGCTTTGCCAGAAATAGCAATTGGAGGCTGAAAACATTTGATAGGAAACTTGACGCAGATTTGTGAAAGGAATAAACGAGGAATTCACAAGAACCCATTTGATATCAAGGGAACAATAGTAACCCATACTGCCCCGCAATAATAAAATAAATCATAATAACCCTGGCACGTGATACAGCGCTTTTCACGTCTTTGAGACGTCTCAAAGAGCTTCACAGAATATACTGCAAAGTAAAGTGACTGTGTGTTCTGTGAGCGAAACGCGGCAGCCAATTGCGCACAGCAGCGTCCCCGCAAGCAGTCATGGATTGAAGTGACCAATTTATTTCTGGGTTTTTTTGTTTTCTTTTTCTTGAGGGATTACTATCAGCGCGTGGAGTAAGGAAACTCACCCAAGGTTTCACCCTGCCGGGAATCGCCCAGCTTGTCAGGCGAGTGATCTAACCACTGAGATACAGGATTATTAGTTCATACCTCAACTCCAAATCCTCCCTCCAGAGTCACAAGCGAGACTCGGGGTGAAGTTCTTTGCTGTGTTGAGTGGAGTGAGCGCCACTTTGGGCTCGATGAGCTGAATGGCCTCTTGTTTCTATAAAATTGGTGCACACCTTATGCAGGATTTGCGCGCGTGCGAGCGTGTGCGCGGGCATGCGTATTGTGTGTATGTGTATGTCCTCTGCTCCCAATAGTGCTTCATGTGGGATAGCCTCGTACAGTCGTGGGTTGAATGCTGAGCGAAAGAGGACGGGGAGTTGACCACGGATGTAGTCGACGATGGGGGTTTAAAGATAAATAAAGAGGGGGCAGGGGGGAGGCCAGGCGGGCGATTGAGGCAGGGAGTTGCAGGATTGACACTTGGTGGATAGCGAGTACCTGGTGAGAGAGCACAACGAAATAAATACGCCTGTATGCGATTCTACTCCCTGCGGTGCAGTGGTACTGAACATCGTTCAGTTCACCGCTTGGCCACCATGCGGCAGCGTTTTCCTGCCTTCTGACCCATTTGCATTCCACCGAGGCTCTACCGCCACTTGCCCTCGGACTGCCTAAAGGGGCGGTCTCGGTGCAAGCGTCTCTGCGCTATGTGCAAACCATGGGCACAGAGCAATGAGTCACAAGTAGATAACTTAAGAACCCGTGAGGATAACTTGCAGGTTTACACGTTTGAATTGTGACTAAATACATAATCCAACATACAGTGCGAGGGAGTAACTACTACTTACAGGCAGGGTTACCTCATTGGATAAACTGCATGGTTCTTTCGACCAAGATTTACAGTAGTGAGACGATATTACGAACTAATTGGGACTGAACCCAATATAAAATGACAATAAGCACTAATCAAAGAATTTCTGTCAAGATTACGATGGTTCTATAATACAATTATGTCAGCTCTCTCTTCTCTCTCTCTCTCTCTCTCTGCCTTTTTTCAGACACAAATTTTCTATGTCTTTCTAACATTCTCTATCACTCTCCTCTCTCTCTCTCTCTCTGACTTTCTCAATCCAACCCTCTCCCTGTTACCGCAATAAACACACTTGCCTCACATACTGGTCTGCAGTCCCGTTTTATGGGCAAAGCAAATCACATGCCTTGGGAACCTCGCTCTGGCAAAAACTTAACTTTTAATGGGGGTACCATGGCTTCACTACATTTCTGTGTCGGTGCCTAATGCAAATTAAGTGGATATAATTAACATGGAGATATGAGGCATTGTAATATGGAGTGTGAGCATTAATAATATTAGATTAGCTAGTTCATGTGGAGAAATATACACTAATGCAGACTTGAAGGGGACAGAATGGCCTGTTCTTTATAGTAATATTCCATAATTTCCGTCCATTTGCAGGACACTGCTGTGCGCAAATTGGCTACTGTGTTTGCCCACAAAACGCACAGTCGCTGCACTTTGTGGTAGATCCTGCGAAGCACTTTACGACATCCTCCCGTTGCTGTGAAAAGTGAGATATCAAATGCAAGGATGATGATTATTTGATCAAATGAAAACAATAATAATCATACTTGCATTTGATATAGTCCTTATCGGGTCATTGAGACATCTCAAAGCGCTTCACAGAATATACGATAAAGTGCATTAACTGTGTGTTTGGGTAAAATATGGTTCCCCATCCCCACACAGTCGTGGATTGACTGACAATTTTTTGCGGGGAGGTATTATTACTGAAAGCGATCTGCCAATTGTCTAATAGCCTGGTGCAGACTCACCCTCACCCCCCCCCTCCCCACCCCCCCCCACCCCCCCCTGACTCCAGCATTGCTGGGCAACAAACCTGAGTGTGTTTACATTGGGACCATACTTTCAATTCACCTACATTCAAATATTTC